GCTTCTGGGGGCTGGGGAGATGGCTCAGTAGATAGAATAAGCACTTCCCTGGCAAGCACAAGGGTCTGAGTTCAATCCCCGGATCCGCCAAAAAAAAAAAAAAGAATGCTTCTGATGACTTTTTAAGTCATCTCAACTTAGTTGGTATCAAAGAATACTTTGCACATTGTCTTGAGGAAATAAACTCTCTAAACCCAAAAGCCTCGCAAGGGCGTGTCATAGGTTACCACAGAACAACTGCCTACACATTGAACCTCATGTCCTGTGACCCTTACCCCATCACCCCTCTCTTCTTCACTCATTTCAAAGACTGACTCAGGGGGGCCTGGCCTTAGCTCAGTTGTTTAAGTGGCTGCTTCCACAAAGCTGTCAGCCTCAGGTTGCTGTAGTTCGATCCCCACAACTCTCCAGCCAGCCAAACCAGCCATGAGGGCATTCAGAGCAAAAAAAAAAAAAAAAAAAAAAAAAACCTTATTCAAAGACTGACTCAGGGACCATGCAAAGCTTGGCTCCACAGGGTGCCACCCATCCGGGTGATCTGCAGCCTGAATTTTCAGATATTCAGATAAGAAACCCAGGGATCAAACATGACTGCTCTCACCCTTCCCAGTCAGCCCCCCCACCAAGTCTATGAGTTCTATTCTGCTCTGCTGGCCCCAGAATGTCTCCCCCACCCCTCTTGGTGGCTTCATGCTGATTAGTCAGACACCTCTCGTTGGTGGACCACACGCTAACCTCTCTGCATTTTCTCCCCACCTCATGTAGCCCGTCTCCATTCACACAGGACCTTCGGATCACTCCACTTCGGTCTCCAGCAGCCCAACAGCTCCATCATCTCCACAGTTCAATTCCAGTTCCCTAGCATGCTGTGTGAGACCCTGCAGAGAGAGCCTTCTGTGTGCCTCTCCTGCCTCATTCCAGACTTCTCACCGGTCCAGCTCTGCCTTCCAGCCTTTTAGGTCCTCATGCCTCCCATTTCTCTCCCTCTGGGTTTTTCTGCACAGTCTTCTCTCCATGGAGAACATTTCCCTCCCACTTCCACTCCACTTATTGGTCATATTGATGCCAATTTCAATGAGTCTCCTCACGAGTCTTCTGTGCCCAGCCTAGCCTGACATGCGGCACCTCTTGCCGCCCTGCCCTACACTTGCTATCCACTCTGGGCTTGCCCTGGGCTACCTCATTCACTTTGTCCTTCAGAAGCATGTTGGAGCCTGTTCATACCTGCTCATGACAGGCAGTCTCAATGAGTAACTTGACACAGGCCATAGTGAAATACTTATGCCATGAAAATCAATAAATTCTGCAGGTCAATTTGTTCTGATTTTTTGTAAAGCCAATTGTTAAACATTTACTAACGCTCACTGACATATCCCTAGCTTCTTATCATGACAGTCAGCATACAGTTCAGTTTATATTGTTTAGTTGAATGAATGAATGAATGAATGAATGAATGGCAGGTTTTCAGTTGACCCCAGAGTAGGTTCAGTTTTGCCAGTATTTCCTGCGTGTTTGATCGTCACCCCTCTGAAACAGAATGGGACTCCAGTTCAGGCAGCTTCTCTGCCCTGGTGTGGGAGGCCTCATGGAGTCTGCCTTCAGGGACCCCTTCAGCATCTCTGTAGCAAGAATGAGGAAACCTTTTAGTCAGACACATGTCTGTACTAGATGGCTCGTTTCTTTCAGGAAATCAAGAAAGAAGCACAGCCAAGCAGCCGGTCTTTCCCACTGCTCCACTTACTGGCTTCATGGCCCTGGGGAATCTGTTTTACCATCTCATTCATTCATTCATTCATTCATTCATTCATTCATTGACAGTATTGGGAATTAAAGCTAGGGCCTTCACGGTGAGCTAAATTGCTAACCCTTTTTTATTTTGAGACAGCATTTTGCTAAGTTGCTAAATTTCCCAGGCAGGGGTCAAACTTGGGATTTTTTTGCTTCACCCTCTCAGAATTCCTGATGTCATTTAACAAGTTAAAAGTTCAGTCCTTGTTCTATATAACAAGTCCTAACAACAGCAGCTAACCCAGGGAGTTCTCATAAAGCCTCCGGCCACCTCGACCTCTTGCCTCTGTTGTCAGGAAATGAGATCCACAGTTGTTCTGCCCGCCTACTCCCAGGTAGATGTAAGAGCCCATAAGCAGAAGAGCTGCTATCTAACTGCTGGGTGTCATAACTTTGAAATCCCAGGAAAGGCTAGAGTGACCCAGGGCTCAAGCTGGAATATTCGATACTTTCCCCTCTGTTCTTCCCAGTTTTTCTCCTTCAGATACACACTTAGTATCTCCCATGTCCTGAGGACTCCCAAATGTATATGTTCAACCCAGAGCTCTTCTCTTAATTCCCAACCCATCTGTCTATCTACCTGGATGTCTCACCAATGTTTCAAGCTGAACGCATGCAAACAAGCTCCTTAGACACTCTACAAACCTGTCCCTTCTGTCACCTTCCCTGTCTCAGTCAGCGGCAGCACCACCTTCTTCTGGCTCAGGTCAGAACCAGAATGCTGCCTTCTATGTTGTTTCAGTCAGTTTTGTGTTACTGTAACAAAATACCCTTGCACTCCACTGTGATGGTGCATGCCTGTAACTCCAGCATTCTGGGAGGCTGATGCGCGGGAACAGGGACTTAAGTTGAAGCCCAGTGTCAGCAACTTAAAGACAGAATGAGACCGAGTGTCAAAAATCTTCTTAAAAAATATTTTTGAAGGATTAGGAATGTACTTCAGTGAGAAGACTCAGGGTTAAACCTGAAATTGAGGGAGAGAGCCTGGAGGATTTGTTTGGCTCAGAGGCTTTAGGCCACAGTTGGTTGGCACCATTATGCTTTGGGGTCTGAGTTGGGGCAGCCCGTGCTGGCAAGGAGCACACGATGCACCAGAACTGCTGGAGGTGAGAGGGCTGAAGGGCACAGGCACAGTGACCCGAGGGCCTCGGGCTAGGCCCGCCTCTTCATGCTTCCACCAGCTCCCAGGAGCACCAAGCGTGGGGGCAGCCTTTCACACGTGGGCCTCCAGAGACCTTCCAGGCGCACCACAGCAAATGCTGTGTTTCCACCGAGTCCTGCCAGGTGCAGCGCGACATAGCCGGAGCTCCCTGCGCCCCACCACATGGGGCACAGGCCCAGCGGTTGCCGCGCTGCCTGCTGCCGCCCCACCCTTCTCAGCAGTGTGTCCCTGAGGTTGAGCCAACAGTGCTTGTATTAAAATGTGAGTTCCCCGGCCTCCGCCTGAGTCATGTCACCAAGGAGCCAGGATGCATGGGATGTCTAACTGACCTTCTTACATGTCCCCTCCCTCACTCCTGTCCAGCTGCAGGGCCTCACTCTGTCCTCCACACATGGCATCTCTTCGTGGGTCCTACAGATGTCATGCCAGTGCCTCTGCTCGGCTGGCTTCTTGTTTTATGCATGCCTTTACTCAAAAGTTACTTTTTCTGGGGAATTTCTGTAAAAATTACCTAAAATCTTAGTCCCTTCCTAACATGACACAGCCCCTTCCCTACTTTACTATTTCCCCATCCAACATAGTGTTTACTATATGTACTTACTGACTTTGCTGCTTTGGTCTTTCACTGAAATTTAAGCTCTTGGCCTGTAAGACTTTTACTTTTTTTTTTTATCCTCAGATTCAAAAGCAATGCCTGGCACATGGTAGGGCTCTATGTTTGTTGAATGAATAAATGATACAATATCTACCCGAAGCTAAGAGGAATAGGTTATTTTATTGTCTCTTCTAAAGACTTACACAGGGGGGCCTGGCCCCAGCTCAGTCCTTTAAGTGACTGCTTCCACAAAGCTGTCAGCCTCAGGTTGCTGGAGTTTGAACCTCCCAACTCTCCCCCTGGCCAAAAGTGCCCTGAAGGCATTCGAGGAACCAAAAAAAAAAAAAACGCTTATTCCATTTTGGGCTGGTGAGATGGCTCAGTGGTCTAAAGCACCCACTTAGAACGAGCTAAGCTTAAGCAAAGCACAGGGACCACGGTTCAATCCCCCAGCACCACATGCCAGCCAGTCCCGCCCCATGGTGGGCTGAGCTGGCCACACAAAATAAATAAATAAATTAAAAAAAATAATAATAAAAAAAAATAAAGACTTACACAATTTCTCCAGAAACTAAACCACATTAAAAGGGCTAAGCATCAGTAATCATAAACATAGGCATTCATGTATTGAGTCTTCATTGTGTATAGGGACTGGGGCTAAGCATGTGACACAGCGAGTCACAGGGAGGTTAGGAAATGCACTCAAGATGTGACAGCAGGGGCCGGCCAGATAACTCAGCGGACTAAAGCGCCTGCTTAGGCAGAGCGCAGGGACTGAGATTGGATCCCCATCCCAGGGGCACGCTGAGACAGGATTGAGACTGGTGTGGTGGCGTGGGCCTGTAATCCCAGCGCTTGGGAGGCTGAAAAGAGGAGAATCACTGAGTGCAAGCTGTGTAGTGAGACCCTGTAGACCCTGTACAAAATACAAAAACAAAGATGACAGCAAAGAGGAGACCATGCCACTCACGTGGCGCCTTCGGTGGAACTCGCTTTGTGCTGAGCTCACAGAGAGCAGCCAGGGATCCCGGAGGACTCAGCTGTGTGACCCTCATGAGTCTGTCGACTGTGGGTCCCGCTGAGGCTGACTTACTATCTCACTGCTTCTGAGTATGTAGTGGTGGTTTTCTATATAAGACAAGGTGGTATTTCTTTTTTTAACTTATGAGATACTAGAATTTTATTAGTAGTGAACATTTTTTTTCTGCGTTTGATACTGGAAGATTTAGATACAAGGGTCTCCTCCATGCAAGCCCACCCCTATATTGTATAGATGTAAGGCTTGTTTTGTTTTGTTTTTTAATTACCTCATATCTTTCTGATTCATGTTTTCTTGCAGTGCTTTGTGCATCGTGCGAGCTTCTTTGATCTCCCTGGGGAACAAGGCAGGGTATGAATAGCTAGCTGTCCTGCTTTTGTGCCTTGTGTAGCTAATTCTTCCAATTATCATCTTAGGAAGTAGAAGCGCAGTTGGAAGAAGTGAAGAAGAAATCAGAAAAGGAAATAAGGCAGCTGGAAGAAGAGAAATCGGCCCTAAATATGAAGCTTCAGAGTTCTCTGCTCGAGGTAAACCCCCTCGGAAAAAAAAAAAAAAAAAAAAAAGCCAACCCATGGCACTTGGGGACAAGGTTCTGGCTTGTGGGAGTTTCAGGCTGAGATTCCAGGAGCCTCCACTTCCTTACAGCCCACGAATAAAAAAGAGGGCGCTCAGCCAGGCGGGCAGGCTGTCTCAGAGGCCATAAATTTAGCTGCAAGTAACAGAGAACCTGATTTATAGGCTGAAACAAAGAGGTCTTTAATGGCTCACATAAAAGAAGGATGCAGGAGGCAGCTAGTGTTGATTCTGTGGCCGAAAGATACCAACGTTTTCCGTCTGCAGCCTTTCCTGCTCTCGGGCTGCTTTGTCCCTTTTGTGGGCCTAATGTGTCCCCGTGTCCCTGGGCCTTTCTTTTAATATCTGTATATACATATTACATATAGTATATAATATGATATATTATTATATGTAGAGAGAAATTTGACTACGTATATATATGCTTTTCATCCTCGTGGTCACCTGACAATATGATGCTTCTTACCTCTAATTTAGAAAGGAGAAAAGGCAGAGAATATATATACTTATACATACTTAATATATGTGTGGATTTTATAAAAGTGTTGATAGAAAAATGAATGTGATTCAGGGTGTGTGTTTTTTTACTTTTTTACTTCTGATTTTCCCTTTTTTTAAGTGTATTTAGGACAGGGTCTACAGGGTCTCACTATGCAGATTGGACTCATGGTGATTCTCCTGTTTTCAGCCCCCTAAATGCTGGGATTACAGGTGAGCACCACTATGCCTGGTCTCAGGGGCAGGGCCAACACAGCATGCCAGGGATTGAACCCCGGCCACTGTGCCCTGCCTAAGCAAGTGCTTTAGTCCGCTGAGCTATCTGACCAGCCCTTCCTTTACTTCTGATTTTAAAAGAAGTTCAGGGCCAGCCAGATAGCTCAGCAGATTAAAGTGCCTGCTTACGCAGATGCAGGGACTGAAAGTGCAGGCCCCACCCCTGCACACACCTGTAATCCCAGCACTTGGGAGGCTGTAGACAGGAGGATCACTGCAAGTCTGATCACAGTGAGACCCTATACACCTTGTACACCCTGTCCTAAATACACACACACACACACACACACACACACACACGATTAAGAGAAGCTCAAACATTTTCAAAACACCTAAAAAGTATTGAAGGTCAGTGAGGGTGGTGAACACCTGCAATCCCAGCTACTCAGGTTCTTAAATTCAAGTCCCATGTGGATGACTTAGCAAGACCCTGAATTAGAATAAAATTAAGAGTGCTGGAAATGTGTCTTGGGGTAGAGTACCCTTGGGCTCAGTCCCCAGTGCTACAAAAATGCATACAATTTAAAAGTATTGAAGAATTTGTATTAGCGCTTAGAGACAAGAGCCCCTTTTGATCCTGATAGCACCAAAGGATCCGAAGGGCTCTTCTTCCCTCCCTTTCCCCTTTCACATCTTCCCGAGGGGACCTGTGTCTCCTGCTGGGCCCGGGGGCCCGTGCATCCTGGCTAAGCCTCTGAGGAGCTTCTTCTCAGAGCTGGGGGTTGAATTCAAGGCCTCACAAATGTTAGGCAGGTGCTGTGCCCTTGAGCTAGGTCCCCAGCTCTGGGAAGCTTTTTAAAATACAGACACCATCTGAACAGCAGTATCAGCTGTTCCTAAACACATATCCATGGAGGTGCGTGAGGGGCCAGGACTGAGCATGGACCAGTGGTTATTTCTAGAAGAGAGTGAGGACAGTGGCCGAGGAACAAGTGTGGAGGTCTGCAGCTCTACTGGTGATGCTATTTCTTTAGCTGAAGAGTGAGGATATAGCTACTGAGTATATTTGTCACTAAACTTTTTCTACTTCCAAAACTATCATTAAAGGTGCCAACGAGATAGCTTGGTGGACTAAAGCGCCTGCTTAGGCCACCTTAGGCAAGCACAGGGACCAAGGTTCGATCCTCCACACCACATATCTTGCCAGCCCCGCCCCCAGGATGGGCTGAGCCAGCCAGAGTCTGGGCAAAGTGGCGCCTGCCTGTAATCCCAGCCCTGGGAAGGCTGAAAGCAGGAGGATCACAAGTCCAAGCTCTGTAGTGAGACCCTATGAGGAGCAAATACATAAAAAAATAAATAAATTATCATTAAAGACAAAATCAGTGAGCATTCCATGCCTGAGACTTAATCCATCCAAGCTGGGTGTGGGTAAGAAGTCCTGGGCTGGAGGCTTCTTTCCCCACATGGGAAAGGAGTCCATTGTTCTCCCTGCACCCTCCCCCGGCCCGTTCTCCTCTTCCTCTTCCTTCACCTTCTCCCTTCCGGCTGAGCCGTGCTTCAGTCTTCACATGGCATGTGGGCTATTTTGGAGAAGTTCATGGGGAACACTTTTTGTAGCCAAGATATGCCTCGGAATGTTTTATATATATAATACATCCACTCTTTTAATCCTTATAGTCACCTTACAATATGATGCTTATTGTTATCTCTAATTTAGAAATGAGAGGAGTGAGGCAGGATAAAGGTAGAGCATTTCCCCAAAGTCACACTAGAAAATTCGTTTCCAACCCAGGTCATGCGGCTCTGAAGGCCCCAGCTTCACCATCGTGCCGGGTCTGCCTCTGTTTTCCTCATTGGCAGTGAAGGATCGCTCAGCTTGCAGGTGATGACCAAGGATTTGGTCATTTGTGGATGAAGTTCAGCCTCACTCTTGCTCCTCAGCTTCACTTCCGTTGAACACACTAAGGGTGCTGCTGTCCACGCCCTCCCTTACCACAGCAGGAAGAGAAGGAATCATGGGGACGGCGTCCACCTCCCACCCCTCCCCTCTGGTCTCCAGTCCCAGCCTGCTCCATCGTCACATTCACTCACTGCTCAAGCTTTGTGGGGCCCTGACCCATGCCTGCCTCTGTCTCTCTTCTCTCTGCACCATTGTCTTGAATTCTTGTCAGAATTCTCAGGATGGTTCACCCACACGCTTATTTACCTCCTTGTGGGTGTTACATAAACAATAGCCATTTGGGCACGGTGGCACATGCCTGAGACAGGAGGACAGGAAGCTGAGACAGGAGGATTGCTCGAGCCTGCAATTTTGAAACAAACCTGGTCAATACAGAAAGAGCCAAAGACAATTGCACAGGACTCCTGAGTGTTTCATAAACCTTAACAAGGTGCAGTATACAGAGATTTTACTGATGTTGAAATATTCCTTTGGGGCCAGGGAGATGGCTCAGTAGAATAAGTGCTTGCCTGGCAAACACAAGGGCCTGAGTTCAATCCCCGGTTCCGCAAACAAGAAAAGAAAAGAAAAGAAAGAAAAGAAAAGAAAAGAAAAGAAAAGAAAAGAAAAGAAAAGAAAAGAAAGAAATATTCCTTTGTCAAATACTCTTTATGTAAAGCCAAGAGGACATTCTGATGGCCTTGCTGTCCCTCTGTGCTGTTATCTAGGTTTGTGCATGCGTGTTGTCTCCCTGCGTCAGCGTTCTCCCTAGGGCAGCTCATTGTAGAACTGATGTTCTGAATCCAAAATCTGCTTAAGACATCCCTCCTCCTCTCCTGAGCTCCTGGACCCCTCCGCGTTTTACCGTCTAGACTCAACCTCACTCACCGCCGTCACTCCCCAAGTCTCTGTCCTCTCCGTCCACTCTGTCATGCTGCCCTCTTCCCACGAGCAGCCCCTGTGCAGCCTCCAGACCCATCCCGCCTGCCCCTGCCGGTACCCCCTCTGGCTGTGCTGCCCGGAATCCATCCTCCTGCCTTCACCACTGGCAGACTCCTGTTTATCCTTCATTATCTTGGAAGCTCCCTGCACTCTGGGGGCAAAGTTCACTGATACAAATTCTGTGTAGTCGGCCTCACTTCATAGTGGTTGTCTTGAGAGTTATTATTTTATTTTGTCTTTTTGAGACAGGGTTTCATTATGCAGTTAAGGCTGGCCTTGAACTCACTTTGCAGCCCAGGCTGACCTTGAGCTCACAGTGACCCCTCCTGAGTGCTGGGATTACAGGCATGTGCCACCACACCTGGCCTTTCAGTATTAATCTTATAAAGTGCTTCAACCCATGGCTGGCACAAAGTAAATGTGCCATTAACAGCGCTATATTTTTATACGTACCCGTACAGTGTTGCTATGGCCATAAACCTGAGTCTGTCTCTCCCGCGAAGTGACAGGGCCTCCAACACAAGGGACCGTTTTTCATCTTGCTGTCACTCTGTCCCTTCTCCTTTCCCTCCCTGTACCCAGCTGATGCCTGACAAGTGTTGGATTTTCTATACACATTTGTGGGCAAAGTCTGAGTTTCCTTCACGGTTATTGGTCTCATTCTTTTCAAGTCTGGAGGGGAAACAGTCTGCTCAATTGATAAGCTACAATTAGTTGACTAGTAACAACCGTCATGATTAAAGCTTTATAATTTAATAGTACCTCCTGGCTACACGTCTCTCAATTTATCTGTACAATTCTTAAATATTTTCATTTTTTTTTTTACCAAATACTTTTCTCCAAAAGAAATTGAGGAGTGTGACATTCCACTGCTTTAGGCATCTAATAAATATTGTGTGTTCTTTTCTCTGTTAAAAAAGAAATTGATTGGCCTGCCAGGAATAGCATGAAAGCCAATGAAATCACCCTGCAGATCTATTATTGATACGTGCATGTAAATATTTTAAAAGAAAGTGTGGAATAATAGAAACCTGCTACGCTCATCTTTTTCTGGAAAGACGGAGCAGCTAGCTAATTAGTGATGGCTTTTTCTAGAAGCACGCTTTGAATTTGTCTAATGGGACCCTAGAACAGATCCACCCAGGAGAATTGATTTCCAGATCAATGACCATATCCAGGAGGCAGGACTTTGTTTCGTTGCCTAGTGTTTCTTGTCTTCTATTTCAGGTTTTAAGACTGGAAGAATTTATCCAACAACAGAAGGTGCCATCCCAAAGAGCCGAAGAAAGACCCCAAAAGTCAGACTGCGGACCCTGCTGCATTCCCGAGAGCCAGGTAGCCTCCAGCTTTTTCTGCCTTAATTAGGGCTATTTCTCCTCTATTTCAGCACTTCTGTGTCCCCAGCGGCACATGTGGATGTTAATGGACTCCTTCACATCCTCCCTCAGTGCTGCCAAAGGCCTGGGGAAAAAAAATCAGTACAAAATCCATTTGCAAAAACCATGAAGGAAATAGAGTTCAGGGTAATTATCCTTGTGACTTGAAAAAGCAAAGGGTATGTCAGATTAATCTTCCCTCCTTCTCTGAGAGCAGGCTGCCTGGCAGATAAAAGAGGCCTTTGATGCTGACCAGCAGTAAGCACCTAATAACAGCAGCCCTGGCAGCACGCTCCATACCCGTCCCCTTTGCACTGGCAGCAGGCTTCTCCTTGGCTGTCCTTCAGGGGTGTGGCTCAAGGGCAGACAGTGGCTCCTGCATGTCCTGCCCATAGTAAGCTGTATTGTACTCCCAGGACCACTGTAATCAGTTATCACATGTTTGTCCACTTCAACAACAGAATTATTCTCTCACAGTTCTGGACATCAAGGTATTGGCAGGGCTGCTTCCTTCCAGAAGTGCTGAGGGAACACCTGTCCCTTCCCTGCCTCTCTTGGTCTCCGGTGGTCCCCTTGCTGCCCCATGAGTCCCAGGGCACCCTGCCCATCTCTGCCCGTCATCACATGCCTCCCCTTCCTGGTGTCTGGGTCCTCATGTTGCCTTCTTTTAACCATGTCAGTCATTGAATTTAGGGCTCACCCTAATCCACTCACCCTGGGTTCATCTTAACTCCTTACATTCCACAGACCCTGCTTTCAAATAAGATGCAATCACAGGGAATGTATCTCTAGGCTTTTTTACTTTACTGGCGCCCCAAATTTTCATCCTGCTTCCAACTCCAGGTGCAAAAACACAGTATAGCTGAGTCTGAGTCCTACACGTCAGCTTCAGAGTCCGCTGGCCCATTCTGTGCATCTTAGCGTCTTCACAAACTGTCATTTCTTTCCTTGACAGCATTCTTCCAGGGCTTAAGCACTGGTCCTGACGAGGGTCTCACAGTCAAGGTCACACGGGCCGTAAGCCAGGGCTGTCCCTGCAACTCAGGGCTTCTCAGCTTCGAGGTCTGACTTTGGGTGTGAATAATTGTGTGGTGTGGGACTCTGCTGTGCATGTCGGATGGTTAGCAGCATCCCTGGGCTGCTCACCAAATGCTTGTAGCACCCTCCCTGACACGCACGTGTGCGTGCACACACACACACACACACACACACCACACCACACTAACAAAATATCTCAATCAAAATTGTCTCTAGACACTGACAGAGGTCTCCTGGGGGCAAAATTACCCTGAGTTGACAATAGCTACCACATCTTAAGTAACACTTTCTGAAGAAGTCCAGAACACAAGTACAAGTCCAGAACCAGGAGCCAGCCGACCATGAAACTCAGGGGTTCTAGCTCTTCTTAATCTAGATCACTGTCCCTGCTGAGCTTGAACCAAAGAGAAGTACAGATTCTTCTATATAACGTTGCAGGAGAAACTTGAACAAATGTCAATTGCGTTAGATTCAACTCAATAATCATTCATCCCACAAGCATTCATGGGCACTTGGGATGTGCTGGCCCTGAGCCAGATGTTGGAGCGGAGGCATGCGTGAACAAATGCCTTCAAATAATGTGGACATTTCCTAGCAGAAGTAAACACCTCATGCTGTGTTTTCTATCACGCTACTATTATATGCTTTGCAGGTATTGGTTTGTTTGGCATGGGGGGAGGTGTTTTGCTTGGTTTTGTTGTCCTTTTGAGATAGTATTTTGCTACACAGTTCAGCCTGGCCTTAACTCCCCTTGTAGCCAGGCTGGCCTTGAACTCATGGTGATCCTCTTGCCTCAGCCTCTCAATGCTGGGCTTACAGGCGTCTACCACCATGCCCAGCTACAGGTATTGTATATTCTTTCTACTTCAGTTTTTCTCAATAAGTTATCGAGGAATGCAGCAGGATTTTAAAAATACATAAAGATAACAATGTACATAAAGATAACATCCATTTCCTCTATGTTCCTTATCCCAGGAAAACTAGTTCTTTTGTTTTATCTCTTCTTATATATCTTTTCAGAACTACTCTATCGTATGGAGGCATAATTATGGCTATATTTTTTCCACAAACAGTAGCATAATCTTCTACGCTCTGCTTCTTTTAACTTAAATTTATATAGCAGGTAGATTATGATACGTGTATGCTTTCACATCAACTTCATTTTTTAAAAAAGGAACTAGCCTTGTTCTTCTTCATACAGAAAAGCCAAAACATAATCTTTCCCTTTTGGCAGATGGCATGGTTCTTTTTAATTTGGGTGTATTGTGGGCTATACATCAGTGGATAGCAATGTAATGCACGGCGTAGTATAGTAGCTAAGCAGCTCACTGGTGAGCCACACATCTGGGTTCTTACTGCCTGGATAACCTTGGGCATATTTTTCGCGTCTCTTTTCTTCAACTTTCTCATCTATAAGGTAGGGACGACGCTGTACCACCTACCTCAGAGGGTTTTGGGATGGCTAAATGAATGACTGCATGGCCAGTGTTGCAGTAGGTGTCAGTAACGCACATTGCTGTAGAACTCCTGGCTCGGGGCACGCAGGCTTTTCACCTTGACAGTTGCCGACACTTGGCTCCCGTCAGCTGGGTACTATGGCAGTGACCCTGCCCGCAGCACACAGAAGTGCCCGTTTGCCCAACTTTGCCAATAGCAAACCACTGAACTTCCTGAACACTGCCAATCAGAGACTTATCACTTATGAATATCTTTGGCAAGTCACCAGCGTGGCAGTCATGTGAGCAGGTGACTTTCCTGATCAAGTGCCATGGGATCAACAATCCAAAGTGCAGCCAGGGGTCAGGGAGATGGCTCAATGGAATAAGTGCTTCCCTGGCAAGTGCAAGGGCCTGAGTTCAATCCCCGGGTCTACCAAGACAAAAAAAAAAAAACACCACAAAAAAACATAGTGTAGCCAGGCCTGTGACAACAGCAGGCAAAAAACAAGAAGGACTTTGAGCTAAGAGCTTGTAGCTGTTCAGTTCAAGGGACAGGGACAACAGCCCTGGGGGTTAACTGACAGTTAAATCTAGATCCTTGATTGTCCTGCCAAAGCATTTCAGGGAATCAACAGAGATAAAAAGACAAGCCCAACTGAGAGCAAACTTTTTGCTTTATTCTCAGATCATGCAGAGGCGTTACCTGGCCTGACTATAGCTCTGTCCCCACTGAATTTAGGGGAGGTTTATTTTTTGTTTTTGGTGCCGAGGACTGAACCCAGGGCTTCCAGCTTGCTAGGCAAGCATTCTACCGCTGAGCCAAATCCACAGCCCCGTCCCCACTGAATTTAGCTAGGACCTTCCTAAACCTTTTGTCCTTCTCTCTCATGGCTAGTCTGCTTCACTCAGTCTCAAAGTACCATCCATCAGTTTCCAGAAAGCCAGGCCGGTCTACTAAAGGAAAGTGTTTCTGAAAGAGTCCTTTGTTACCTCGGCCACGCCGACCTGAGGCCAGGGGAGGGTAGAAATGTTCCTAGATGCATCCCTGCCTACACCATCTCCAGAAAGAAAACGAGAGCCATTGTGCTGATTTTTATTCAAGTTGCTTGGTCTCCATGAGTATTTATGAGTGCTGTTACCACAAGAGCCACAGAGGACTGGATGTCCCATGAATGCCCTTGGGCCTTGGAGGGCTCCAATTCAAATAGGAGAAACAAGCATCTACTTAAATAATGACTCACGGGCTGGTGTGATGGCTCAGTGGTCTAAAGCACCTACTTAGAACAAGTTTAGCAAAGCACAGGGACCACGGTTCAATCCCCCAGCACCACATGCCAGCCGGCCCCGCCCCCTGGTGGGCTGAGCTGGACACACACACACATAAATAAATAAAATTTAAAAAAAAAATTTAAAAAAAAAATAATGACTCGCATGATGAGTGCTACAAAATGTCGGGAACATTCTTGTGCAGACCAGATGGGAGAGGGAGTTTTCTTCCCAGGTTGGTCCAGGATGGCTTTGCAGAGGAAAGACATCTGCTGACACTGAACTTTGAGTATGACCTCACCTGAGTCATGCTGGGAGAAGGAATATGACCCACGATCCCTAAGGCTTGTGGGAAGGAGAAGGGGGTACCTAGGCCTGAGACGGACCCCCACTTACTGCAGGGGCTGTGTGGCTCAGTAGTACAGACCTAGAGGACCATACTTATCAAAGGTGTAGGCAGTTAAGGGTCACTAAGCTTTCAGGCAATTGAGATGTCTCGAGTAGCCTCAGGCCACTAACGGCTGGCATCCCCTGCATAGTTGAGGCAGATCTTGTGGACCCAGAGTGCCTTCCAAAGGCCAGGAGCTCATGGCATGATCTCTAGCTTACAGCTGCTGGGAACTAGTGGAATGGTTGCTAGGCAGGGCCTCAGGGAAGGAAGGTAGGTCACTGGGGACATGTCCTTGAAGAGACCCCAGTGTCCCTCTTCCTCTCTCTTCATTTCAGAGTCACTAAGGTAAGCAGCTTCTGAAGTGCACGTCTGCCATGACACACTGTGCTGCCTTGGGCCCAAAGCCACAGGTCCAAGCAGCCCTGAACTGAAATCCCCCCAACTCTGAGCCAAAGTAAACCTTTTCTGTCTTTAAGTTGAGAACCCTTGTTAGAGCAGCAAAAAGGTGGCCGACACATGTGGGGTCTGACCTGGAACACGCCGGCTGCACTTCCCTTCCTGGCAGTAGGCATTAGGCCAGAATTCTCTGGAGCTCTGGAAGACAGCAAAAGGCAGGACAGCAGCTTCTGGCTGAGTGTCAGAGCATAGGTTCTACCTAGCTTTGCCCAGGTCTGGTTGAAGGAGTAGGCAAAGCAGTAGTCCTCTGAGATCAGTTTCCTCATCGCTCACAGTGGTAAACATGGGGATGAGACCCGGCTGTGTGCCAAGCACTTAGCGTATTGCATAGACGTATCCCACAACAACCCTGTGAGGTACTAAGTACTA